GCCCCGTACTCTGGGAGTTTCTTGATTAGACGCTGAACTGCAGGCTGTGGAAGGTCAGTAGTTCAGCAGTTCAAGACCCGGGTGCTGCAAGACGGGGTGAGCTCCCGTCTCTAGTTCCAGCTCCTGCCAACCTAGCAGTTCGAAAGCAAGAAATTGCAAGTAGATAAATAGGTACCACTTCGGTGGGAAGGGAACAGCGTTCCGTGCGCCTTGGTATTTAGTCATGCCAGCCACATGACCACGGAAATGTCTTCGGACAGCGCTGGCTCTTCGGCTTTGAAACGGAGATGAGTCGGATTCGACTGGCTTTCGAGCAAGGGGAACCTTTTTATTTGTGTTTTTCATTCTTCCTAAAATGCATTTATTTTTGAAAAAGGGGGGGCGCACCGGGGGGGGCGGGGCGCCAGAAGGGATCCTCGCCTAGGGTGCAAAATAAGCTGGGGCCGGCCCTGATGGGGATGGACCACAGGAGCCATCTGGGAACCCCAGCTGGTCTTGTGCAATCTTGATGGAGCAGTTCACGGTCCAGTGGGTGGACCTAGGGAGATTGGCAGGATCCGGGGGAGGCAGTATCCTCCCCGGGAGCCAGTTTGGTGTAGTGGTCAAGAGCGGCAGACTCTTAATCTGGAGAACCGGGTTCGATTTCCCACTTCAAGCTAGCTGGGAGATCTTAGAAAGGTCACAGCACCCTCAGGCTAACCATAAGCATAGCTCGCCACCTAGTGGTGCCAAAGAAGTGCTACAGCTTCAGCAGCCAAACAGCCCCTTCTGGGATCTCCTGGCTATTCCCCACACAATAAAGGTAAAGGTCTCCCTTGCTCGAAAGCCAGTCGAGTCCGACTCTAGGGTTGCGGTGCTCATCTCCGTTTCCAAGCCGAAGAGCCAGCGCTGTCCGAAGGCGTCTCCGTGGTCATGTGGCCGGCATGACTAAACACCAAGGCGCACGGAACGCTGTGACCTTCCCACCGAAGGGGTCCCTATTTATCTACGTGCAATGTCTTGCTTTCGAACTGCTAGGTTGGCAGGAGCTGGAACTAGAGACGGGAGCTCACTCCGTCATGCGGCACACTCGGGGCTTGAACTGCTGAACTACCGACCTTCCACAGCCTGCAGTTCAGCGTCTTAACCACTTGAGCCACCGCAGCTCCATTCCCCACACAATACCATGTGATAATTAATAGCCTCCCAATTGCCAGCTCACTTTGTGCCCAAAACTTTCCGTCACTGGGCCTCTCTTCCTTCCACAGGACTATGTCGGTCTGCGAGGTGTGTTTGCTGTTGGCTGTGCGGTTCTGACTCTGCCCGTCTTTGCTCTCCTGGCCTTCACCTTTGTCCCCCCGCTTGTCTCCACCGTCTGGTTGGGTATCACTTACTCCTTCGCAGCAGTAAGTAAATGCAGGACAATGCACACGAAGTAGTCTTTTATCCCATTTTAGAGGTGGGGTGGGGGGGACACAGTGGGAGTTGCAAAATAAACCTCTTTGATTGGATTTTTCCCCACCACACCCCTCTCACAGGTCACATTCCACTGTTCATAGGTGCAGCATCACTGTTCATAGGTGCAGTAGGGCGTGGCCGTTTCTTCACGTTGCCAAATCTGGTGTGCCTGACCCAGTCATGGGTGCCCCACCTGTTCCACATTACTTGGAGAGCAGTGGCTGCTGCTGTTGCTAGCAGAACCAGCCCTACCCAGTAGGCAGAGATTGGGCTGCAGCTCACTGTGATCGGAGGCTTTGGAGATGGCTGCTCAGCCTTTACACGAGGAGGGAGTCTCGTGGCTGGAGGCACCCAATTAAATTGTTGGGCAGTAGATTCAGGACAGGCAAAAGGAAGTACTTATTAACAAGTGGTTAAAATGCGGAATTTTCTGCCAGAGGATGTAGTGATGGCCACAGGAATAGACAGCTTTAAAACGGATCAGACAGATTCATGGAGGAGAGGTCTATCACTGGCTGCCAGCCATGGCGACTGAAGGGAATCTCTACATTCAGAGGCACTAAACCTCCAAATGCCAGTGCTGGGAGGCAGCATCAGGGGAAGGCCTCAGCCTCTATACCCTAGGGTTGCCAAATCAACTCACCCCTCGGAGCGGGGGAGTCTTGCTGGCGTCCGGGAGGTCTCGGCGAAGCGCGCCACGTCACCAGAAGTGACGTGTGACGTTGCTGACGTTGGAGGCGTGGTCGAGCTCAGCCATGCCCTCAACGTCAGCAACGTCGCACGTCACCTCTGGTGATGCAGCTTTGGGGGCGGGGTTCCCCCCGGGCCCCGATTCCGCCGGGGTGGAAATCGGGTCTCCGAAGCGGGGGATTCCCTGCCCCCCCGGGCCCATTTGGCAACCCTACTATACCCTGTTGTTGGTCTTCCAGAAGAATTGGTCAGCCAGTGTGTGAGACAGGATGCTGGGCTAGATGGGCCACTGGTCTTATGCTCTTACGAGGTTTTGAAAAACAGCAGATCTTGCCTGTCTGGTTGTGTCTGCTGCACATGTTGAAACTGGTATCTTGTAGGCTAGATGTAAGTTCAGGCAGACCATAGGGTCGAATTCTGTGGGCTGGTTCTGCGGATCCTGGCCCTGATCTCTGGCTCAAGCTACCAGCAGCAAAAGGATCCCTGCATCCAAGGAAGGTGCCACAGGAGAATTTTTTTTGGGGGGGGAATTGTTTATCTGCGCTGTAGGATCAAAATGAGCAAGTTTATAGAAAACAGCTTTTTTCCTGTAACTAGGGAAATTCTCAGCCTGCTGCTCGGCCTAAACTGATAGGCTAAAACAAAGCATCTGTTTTTCTTCTTTCGACTTACCAAATCGCCCACCCACTTTCCACTTTCTGACTGTGTGGTGTGTGTTTCAACCAGGCTAGCATGTGGCCCTCCATTCCACTCGTGGTCCCCCAGGCAACCTTGGGAACAGCCATGGGGCTTGCAACCTCCATACAGATGATCGGCATCGGCCTCTCCAATGTGATTGTTGGACGGATTCTGGGGACGAAGTCCAGGTTAGAACATCTCCCTCCCTTCCTTCCTGTAACCAGAGGTCATGTCGTGGAAAAAGAGGTGCAGGAGCTCATTAGCATAACTCATTAGCATAACTCATTTGCATAGGCCACACCCCCTGACATCACCGGAAGTGTGTCAGAAGGCAACACCCACCGCTCAGGCTCCACTGGACTGTTTTGGATTGCTAGCTATTGGGGGAGGGGGGGACGCGCAGATCTGCCCTGGCAGAGGAGGGAGAGCTGGTACCTGAATAAAACTTGGTCTTAAAGGTGCCACTGGACTGTTTTGGATTGCTAGCTATGGGGAGGGGGGGAACGCGCAGATCTGCCCTCACAGAGAATGGAGAGCTTGTACCTGAAGACAGGCCGGGGGGTGGGGGTGGTCTGCAACTTACCTGGCTGCTTCTTGCTCTTCGTGGCCCGACTGAGGGCTGCTGGGAGCAGGGGGTGGGGCTTGTTGCATGTGCCCACCCCCTGGGCTCCTTACTGCCGGAGCTCCGTTCCTGTGCGCTCCCGCAGGAAATGATCCCTGCCTGTAACCCACAACTACTCTGCCATCCTCCCAAGTTCTAACTGTACAACCCCATTCGGTCAGTGGCCTGAACGAGACCAATGTGCCAACGTGAGCGATATGGGCGCATTACGTTTGCATAAGCCGGGGTGTTGCGCATGTAAATTCTTACCCGCTTGTTTTTCTCCCCATCTTGCCAGTGAATTAAAGATCCCGCTCTGGCGCTGGCAACAAATGATGGTCTTCATGCTAGCGAACACCATCGCTTGCATCGTCACCTCCATCGGACTCAACATAGTGGACAAGAAGCAGGTATGAGTTAATGTCATTGGTATCTCAGGCAATGCTTCCCTCTAAGATGTGGAGTCTTGTGAGCAAAAATTCTGCCTTGTGAGCTACGGGCATTAAAGTTGTGAGCGAGCGATTTGCCTACTGCATAGATCAGTTTGCTCTGGAGACATCCTTCCTGAGCCGAGACAAAAAACTGTGAGCCAGAGGCTAATCAACTGTGAGCTAGCTCAGACCAACTCAGCTTAGAGGGAACACTGATCTCAGGGTATATTTTTAAAAAAATCACAGAAGTTGCTAGCACGCCACTGAACATAGCTGTTTGAAATCTATGGCAAAATGTGTCGAGTTCCACACTGTAGCCAGAATGGGAAGGTTGGGGCTTCGGTGCATTTTCTTATTTATTTGTTTATTCAAATTTATACCCCGCCCTCCCAGCCCAAGGCCGGCTTACATAAAACCCACAGAAACATTTAAATAACACAATAAAACATTTAAAACAGTATTTAAAAGGTTACCATTCCATAATAAGTGCTAGTTTTGCTATTATAGAGTTCGTGATGGCTACCATTGACTCTCTCTTCCCACGGCCGGCACAGATCTTCTATAAGTGTCTTTCAGGTGTCCCTCCGGCGGCCGGTGCAGTTGTTAGTATAGGTTTCAGGGCAACAGGGGCTTCTCTTCCAAGTTGTTAGAGGTGGCGACCAGTGTTCCCTCTAAGCTGAGTTAGTGTGCGCTAGCTCACAGTTTTTTTAGCCTCCAGCTCACACATTTTTGTCTTCGCTCAGGAAGGAGGGCTCCAGAGCAAACTAATTTATGCAGCGGCCAAATCGCTCGCTCACAACTTTAATGCCAGTCGCTCACAAAGTTGAATTTCTGTTCACAAGACTCCGCAGTTTAGAGGGAACATTGGTGGAGACAGCTCCAAAAGCCTGGCGGAAGAGCTCCGTTTTACAGGCCCTGCGGAACTGTAGCCGGTCCCGCAGGGCCCTGATCTCCTCCGGGAGCTCATTCCACCAGGATGGAGCCGCCACCGAGAAAGCCCTGGCCCTGGTTGTCACCAGCCTGGCCTCCTTAAGACTCGGGAGGGCCAGACGATTCTGGGCCCCTGGTTGCAGCGCTCTCTGGGGAACATGTGGGGAAAGGCGGTCCCTCAGGTATGTAGGTCCTGGCCATAAAGGGCTTTAAAGGTAAGAACCAGCACCTTGAAATGGATTCGGTATGCTATCGGCAGCCAGCGCAATGCCTTGAGCACAGGCTGGATGTGCTCCCGGACGGGGAGTCCCATCAGCAGCCTGGCTGCAGCATTTTTGGACCAGCTCAGCTTCTGGATTTGAGACAAGGGCAGCCCCATGTAGAGAGCATTACAGTAGTCCAATCTCGAGGTGACCATTGCATGGATCGCTGTTGCCAAGTCGTTGCGTTCGAGGAAGGGAACCAACTTACCTAATCAGCCAAAGATGGTAAAAGGCTGCCTTGGCAGGGGCTGCTACCTGGGCCTCCATTGTTATGGAGGCGTCTAGGAGCACTCCCGGACTCCTAACCTCCGGCGCTGGCACCAAAGGTGCCCCATTGAAGGTCAGGAGTGGGATCCCTACCCCCGGACCGCCTCGACTCAGGCAAAGGACCTCCGTCTTAGTCAGATTCAGTTTCAGCCGGCCCAGCCTAAGCCAACCAGCCATGTCTTGTAACGCCCGGTTTAGATCTTCCGGTTGGTCGGACTGACCACCCAACAACAGATAGAGCTGGGTGTCATCCATGTACTGGTGACAACCCAGCCCATGCCTCCGGGCAATCTGAGCAAGGGGGTGCACATAGATGTTAAAAATCATCAGGGACAACACTGCCCCTTGAGGCACTCCACACTCCAGTGGGTGCCTCTGGGATATTTGATCCCCCAGCGCCACCCTTTGTCCCCGACTTTGGAGAAAGGAGGCAAGCCACTGCAAGGCCAGCCCCTGGACCCCATTGTTGGCGAGGCGGTGGACCAGTAGCTGATAGTCGACTGTGTCGAACACTGCCGACAAGTCCAACAACAACAGCATCGCCCGTCCGCCCCGATCCAGATGCCTCCGGAGGTCATCCGTGAGGTGGGCAATCAGTGCCGTCTCCGTCCTGTGGCCCGGGTGAAAGCCGGATTGGAAGGGATCTAAAATGGGCTAATCAGAAGTGGACTAGGCCGTGGCTGCCTTTTGTCAAGAGAGGAACCACGAGGCTGTAGGACAGGGCAGACATTAGGCAAAAAGAGGCGTGAACACTTGATATGCCATACTGTCTTGTATTGTTTCTGTGTCCTACGTATCGTCTGTCGAAGCACTGCGGCTCATTCCTTCCACCATTGTTGGTGGCGCCGCTGACACCCAACACAAGATCTCTGCTCTAGAGTAGCTCCATTTTGGCTCATTTTCTTGGCTGTCTGCTTTCCCAGGGAGGAACGTTGAACCGTACGACAAAACGCTCGTTGCCAGAGCCGCTGGCCAGGCAGCCTGGGGATACAGCCCCGCTCCTCAACGAGGGAGAAGAGGAAGGATCCATCAACTAGAAGCACAGACTGCAAAAGCACCAGTAGTCCACCATCTTTTAAACCCCCCACCCCATCGCTTTCAGATATTTTGTAAGGGAAACTCAGTGAACCAGGTACCTAAGAGACAGGAATTCATGTCAACTGATCTTATGGTAGAGACGGAGAATGACTTTCAGCCTGTGTTATGGAAGGGTCTAGAAACTGAGCGTCAGGGCTATTTTGGGGCAGGAACGCACAGGAACGGAGTTCCGGCTGGCTTCCAAGTTGGCCACACCCAGCAGGAACTCATAAGCATAATAGGCCACACCCAACAGCAGGAACTCATTAGGATTGGCTACGTTAGGGGTGTGTGGCCTAACATGCAAAGGAGTTCTTGCTACAAAAAAGGCCCTGGGTTTGGACAAGAAACAAGGTAAACAGAAGAAGCAAAAGGTGAGTGTGGCTGGATGACCACACTTCTGGTAACATGGGGGTGTGGCCTAATATGCCAACGAGTTGTGCTGTCAGGGGTGTGGCCTAATAGGCTAATGAGTTTCTGCTGTCGGGTGTGGCCTATTATGCTAATGAGTTCCTGCTGGGCTTTTTCTACAAAAAGAGCCCTGCTGAGCGTGGCTCGTGGCCTTCAGGTCCAGCTCTTAGGACCGTTTTTAAGCTTTTGTGGAAGAAAGCTAGAGTGAGGCTGTTTTGGTAAGGAAGACGAAGCCGGCTTCGTTGTGGTTTTAAGGGCTGGTTCTGTGTTCAGTCTGATCCTCCATCACTGTTCTGGGCCTCCCCGCCTACCTTGTCAGTATTATTGATTCCTGTAACACTTTATCCCCAAGGCGTTTCCCAGGCATCCTTCTCCAAAAACATGTTTACATTGATGATATTTCTGCTTCCATAAATGAGGGAACCGTCACCAAGGGACGATCTCCCTTTCTCTTGGGTTGGGTTGGTGCTGTCCCTCACCGCCTCGAGAGAATGGGAGAAAGGAGAAACACATCCGAGCTGCCAAATACTACACTTTACTTATTCTGTGAATCGTGTAAATGCATGTTTATCTTGAACTTGATTGCAGAAATCGTTTGACTGCTAGCTGCCAGGCCAGAGATACTTGGATAGTTTAAAAAAAAGAAAGGCAAGATGCTGTGATGGAAGAAAACAGTCCCTCGCCCCGTTTCAGTAGACTACACACCAGTACAAAGGAAAAGGTATCACACAGCCGGAGTCTACTTAGTAGCTTGGCCTCAGTAGCTAGTCCTATTACGGCCTTTCTGGCCTGTGCAGAAAACGTAGAGGGGGAGAGTCAACCGAAACCTCCAAGAGCTGCTTCTTCCCTGCTGTGAGGCCAGCAAACAATCCCTCCTTTCCCTTGAGTGGGGGGTGGTGGTGGTGCAGGGGGGGCTGTAGGATGGAAGAAGAGATTGGATTTATACCCTTTAGCTTCACGCTAGGCTAGGAAGCAGGCAGGAACAATCTTGGGGTAAGCAGGGGTCGTTTCGTAGAAAAAGAGCTAGGGGAACTCATTAGCACAACTCATTAGCATATGCCACACCCCCTGACATCATCAGAAGTGTGTCATAAGGCCACACACCCCGCCCCCAACGGTCCCGGCCACCGCCGCCGGCCTTGCAGCTCCACCACGGCACTGTTCTACTTGTGTTCCAATACAACTCAGGTAACTGAATAGTTGTTTTACTCTCTGACCCTCCTAAACAAAGCCATCCTGTGACTTTCCATAGGGAAACACATCATTACAATTTTATAAAGGGCACATAAAACCCACTTGGGGGTGGGGTGGGGGGAGCAGCTATTAGCGACCAGTGTGCAGCCTTTTTATATATACAGATCGTAGCGCAATGTAGCAAAGTCATCCACTCATAATCAAAGAGTAGCCGACCTTTGCTGAAGGGAAACAGCACTGACTGGCAGAGTTTTGAATTCCTTGCTTCGAGGAAATCGGTAAAGATATCATCCTTAATTGGGGGTAAACCTTATTGATCCCTGTGATGCTTCTGAGTAAGCAGCACAGGATTGAGAGACAGGCAGTAAGGCCGGATTTCACTCACAGCCCCCCTTCTCCCCTCTACTGCAGCTCAACCGATCACCGCTGGTAACTTGGCGGCTCAAATGCTTACTCCAGGCAGTTTGCACAAGGCGAAGATCACCCTTACCACTTAAGTGTACAGAACAAAAAGATGGGATTGGCTGAAACCCTCATGAAGTAATCAGCTAACCCACCCTTAAGATCACTAACATGACATTAGGATATAAGCTGACACCTGAACGACACTATTAACTACCAGGCGGGAGAAGGACTTGGTGCTACTGCAGGGACAAACCAGCAAAGAACGGCAGACAAGAGGAGCATTGGCCATGAAGTGCAGCTATGCTTCAGGTGACAAGGAATCCAGTGACGCATTTGACCGTGCAATGCTATGTAGAGTTGCTCCAAGTCTAAGCCCAATCAGTGGGTTCACACTGCAGTGACTCTATATAGGATTGATAAAGTCACTCTGCAGATGACTTCTGTTTCATTGAAATGCCTTTATCACTGAAGTAGTTGGAGAGTGCTTTTTGTTTTTTACTTCCCTATCTTCTCCTAAATTAAGATAGTAAGCCTTTAGAAAAGGGACAAAGTGTACTGTACTAAATGTAGTGGCCTATACGTGTACTAGTCACTAAAGTGTTTAGATCAATGACATAAGTTAACTATGCACCATAAACTACCAACAGTAACACCTCACTCTGGCTGACACAAAATAAAAGACTTGATGATTTTATGTAGCTTTCTGCCCATTTCTTTTTGGCAATCATGTTAGACTATGTATCACTGGGGAAAAATTACTGCAGGTGCACAAGAAGCTGTCTTATACCAAGTCAGAACACTGGTCTGTCTAGCTTGATACTGTCCGACTGTTTGCAGCTCTCTGCCAGAAAAAAAGATCTTTCTGAACACCTGCTAGGCAAGATACTTTCACTGGAGAAGTCAGGGATTGAACCTGGGAGTAAATATCCTAGCACCAGCAAGTACTCAAAAGAATGTGTTAGGCGGTGGAACCCGTTAGCACTCCCTTAGTGACTTGCAGCTAGGGAAGTCTTTGGAGATTTTTGTTGAGTCCTCACTAGGGAGAAGGAGCTGTGGTGGCTCAAGTGGTTAAGACGCTGAACTGCAGGCTGTGGAAGGTCGGTAGTTCAGCAGTTCGGGAGACCTGAGTTGCCGCATGACGGAGTGAGTTCCCGTCTCTAGTTCCAGCTCCTGCCAACCTAGCAGTTTGAAAGCAAGAAATTGCAAGTAGATAAATAGGCACCACTTTGGTGGGAAGGTAACAGCGTCCCGTGCGCTTTGGTGTTTAGTCATGCCGGCCACATGACCACGGAAACGTCTTCGGACAGCGCTGGCTCTTCGGCTTTGAAACGGAGATGAACACCGCAACCCTAGAGTCGGACTCGACTGGCTTTCGAGCAAGGGAACCTTTACCTTTACCTTAAAATGCAAGTGGATCCCTATAACAAAAGCGTCCGGAGGGACCCTTTGCTAGTCTGGATTCTTTAGCAGATGTTCCATCTCGTTTGTCAACCTCCCATGATGAGGAGATCCTGTCACTATCAAGTATCATGTGCTTGTAGGGGAAAGAAGCTGTTAAGAGCCCAGCACGTTTGTGGCCAGAGATTCCTCCCCTGCTTAGGATCTCCCAACAGGAAAGTGGGCTGTGGACTTTGTGCTGCAAAAGACGAGTAGTGGGTCCTCTCCTCAACTGCACCATGGGCAGGGCCGGCTCACTCACTAGGCGATCGCCTAGAGCGGGCTGGCCCTTAGGGGCACCAAACTGCACCCGGCCCCGTACTCTGGGAGTTTCTTGATTATTTGTGTTTTTCATTCTTCCTGGCTTTCAAGCAAGGGAACTTTTACCTTTACCCTAGGGAGAAAAGCAGGATACGAAATACACCAAATAAACGAATACTGCATGCCATAACGAGCAGTTAAAAGATCTCAAAGTGACGATATTGCCCCCATACCAAATAATACTTATATGCTCAGTTTCTAAGGCTTTTAATTCAGACCAGTGTTGGACTGGATGGGCTATTGGCCTGATCCAACATTGGCTTCTCTTATACTCTTAGATGTGGTAAAAGCGTATCAGAGCAGGCAACTGCAGGTAATTTGCATTTTGCAGAGTTTTATAGCACATTTATACCGTGTGGTGGTGAGAGTGCCCTGATCTGGATGGCCCCGGCTAACCTTATTTGTCCTGGGAGCTAAGCAGGGCTGGCTGTGGTCCGTATTTGGATGGGAGACCACCAAGGAAGCCCAGGGTTGTTACACAGAGGCAGGCAGTGGCAAACCACCCTCTGAAACATCTCTGGCCTTGAAAGCTCTATGGGGTTGCTGTAAGTTGGCTGCGACTTGACAGCACTCTCCACCAGTGGTTACAGTATTGGACTAGGATCTTGGGAGACCCGGGTTCAAATCTCCAGGACGCCACGAAAGCTTCCTGGGTAACCTTGGGCCAGTGACAAACTTTCAGTCCGATTGTGGTGAGGATAAAACGGAGGAGGAGAACGTAAGCCACTTTGGGGAAGGGTATAAATGAAGGGAATATAGCAGTGATGGCGAACCTTTTAGGGACCGAGTGCCCAAACTGCGACCCAAAACCCACTTATTTATTGCAAAGTGCCAACAAGGCGATTTAACCTGAATATGGAGATTTTACTTTAGAAAAAACAACTCATACATTAACTTATGATCCAAACAAAGTAAGGAAAGCGATCCCAAATGCTTTCATTTACTTAAAGTTATTTGGCAGAGAATTCGACACTTTAATGATGGACTCTGGGCCTGGCTGGGGCGATGGTACGCGTGCCCACTGAGAGGGCTCTGAGTGCCACCTCTGACCCCCGTGCCATAGGTTCGCCACCACTGGAATATAGCATCAGCCAAACATATTTTCGTCGGACCCCCAATACTCTGCCTCTCCCGATGCTGATAATTAAAAACCCACAAGATCGCCTTCGCATACACTGCTGAAATGCATAATTCACATCCTTAAAGGAATTGTTGACCATACCAGCACAAGTTAGCAAAATCAGGCTGTTTATTATGCAGTACATGATTCACAGATCGAAGCTTTTCATTCACCCCCTGGAACAGCACCCTTTACATCAGTGATAACTTAAGGCTTCGCTGAAAAGCTGCTATCCAAGACAGAGGCACTGATGGAAATGCACTTTTTAATACTTTGGCCCCACGTGGGCTAATTTGATGGGAGAAAGCCCAAAAAGCAGACCATCCGCCAAGTCAGAGGAGCAAGCTCAAGGTGACGGCCACCCCAGGGCAAGCCCGCATCAGGGTGCATTCTGGTCCATACCCAACCATTCTTATTCAGTGACCAACTGCAGTTGACAGAGGGGTTTCTTAGGAATGAATGTCACAAAAAGTGACCCAGGAGCCATTCTCTCCGCCCAAAGAGCAGGAGTCAGGAGGTACAAGTTCTGTATTCATTGAAAGCATCCAGACTGCAGTCCACTTCAACACCCGGCACAGAGCTTACGCCTCCAAGCCAACCAGTTTGCATTTTTGCTGGTGTGCAAAGAGCTGTTCTGCAAGACAGACCATTCATTCTTTGGCCTGCCTGAGGAATTCCCATACGGAATGGAGTTAAGAGGCCAGCCATTACACTTGACGACGGCTGACAAGCAATGAACCCTGGGATACTGTCCATGAGGAATCAATCCTAGGGAAAGTGACGGAAATTAAAGAACCCCCCTCTTTAGCCTCCCCCGCCACCAAAACCTCGTGAGATTACAGGAAATACAATCGCAAACTACTTTGAGCAACCCATGTGCCACACAAATACTGTACTGCAAGGAACCGGGAACTGTCCCCTGATCAGATGAAAGAGACAACTTAAGTCTCAAGGCAGCTACAACGGTAAGGTAAATGACCTGGTAGGATAATCCATTTCTCCCATAGGGGCTGACCAAGACCTTTCCTGGAGCTGGTACCTGCATTGTTAGGAGGTAGGGGGAAAGGGGTTGCTGCAGCTCCCTGCCAGTTTTCCAATGGCGCTTCTTCCCTCGCCCGGAACTAGTTTTGTCCCCAATTTTAGAGAAGAGGAAACCAGGGGAAGAATGGGCAGAACACAGAGAAGCTGCAGTCCAATCAGAAATACTGAGACCACCTCCGGGGACGGGGACCTGGAAATCCCACAGGCTAGGCAGAACTGGCCCAAGGCAACGGAAGGTTGAGAAGGAGGGAAGGCAAAGACACCAACAGAGTCAGCAGAGAACGAGACCCATACTATTGATTTTCCAGAGTAGGGGCAGTTAAGAGACCAAGGGAAACGAGAGCCTTCAGAGCTCAACTGTTTTCATTTGGAGGCTAGTGACGGGCTACGACACAACCTTCTCAACAGCCTCCCTGGCCACACTTGGAAGGTTTACAGTGACACAGAGTGGATTGGCAGACTTCTCGCAGGCAGACGGAGGGTTAGATGGCAAATGCCCTCAATGCTATCGTCAACTTCACGTCCCCCTTTAAGTACCTGGAGGAGAGGCCGTGCCGAGCCGTTAGTCAAGAGCATATTTCTGTCAGCACAGATTCTAGGAGCAAATGTTGCCAAGGCAGCCACCGCAAAGTTAAAGGCTTTGGCGGCTGCTTGAGATAATTAGTTGTTGCAGGATGTGTTTTCAACCAAGCTCTTTGACCAGAAGAGGACTTGCTTGCTGGGCAGGATTCTCTCCTCTCCCCCCCAATTTTTCTACAAGACTCACAGTTCAGATAGAACTTCAGAGTTCAGGCCAAGCCTACCCACTTCCGGTCTGTCTAGTGCAGATAAATTTCCTCTAGGCTGCATTATCCAATCCAAGCATCAAGAAAATAATCTTCATTACAACCCGTTGCAAGGCCAGAAATCAACAGCAGTGAATGGGCTAGAAACATACTCTCCGAAGTCTGGTCTATATCTTTAAAGCAAAGAGGCACAGCCTGATTTCTGCCCGCAATCAGCCAAACCACTAAGTGCTTCCTTCTGCAAGCACCACAAGACTAGCCTTTGGGTTCTGCCTTTGAACACTCAGGTCGTATTTCTGTGCTGACTCCATTAGGGAAGAGGGAGGGCTTCGCCCCCCTAGTAGAATGAAAGACTGGATTTGCCCCCGGGGGGGTTAAGGACTTTGTTGTGTGAACGTGGTCGTGGCCCCAGCCTAGGCTCGTGGTCTTCTGTCTTGGGTCCGGGCTCTTTGGGAGTCTCTTTCTGCGGCTCGTATGTGTCTTCCACCTGTGGTCTTTGGTCTTCGGGAGCTGTAGAACAAGAGATGTCATTAGACGGACAGTCCAGAATACTGCTTTTGCCCACCCCAGTGTTATTAGGGTGTGTAGCAGGATAGGTCCCTTGACAACTTTCTGTCCTTCATTTTGTATCTTGTTCCAAATCAGCACTACAGGTGGAAGGTCACAGAGGCTAAACAAACCTCCCCCCACCTGCCAGCCACTGCTTTGACACTATTTCTCTCATATAGGCAGGGGTCGTTTCGTAGAAAAAGAGCTAGGGGAACTCATTAGCATATGCCACACCCCCTGACATCACCGGAAGTGTGTCATAAAGCCACACCCCCTGACATCACCGGAAGTTAAGGCCCTCCTGGCCCCAGGCCAGCCGGGGGGGGGGAGAGGCAGGGAGGAAGCAACTTACCCTCCCTCTTCTCCTGCCTCCTCCTGGCTGAATGAGGGCCGGAAGCAGGGGGCGGGGCTTCGTCATGTGCCCCGCCCCCCGTACCTCACCCGGGGGAACTGCGATCCCCCCCGAAATGACCTCTGCATATAGGAGTTTTTAATAGCATGGTATGGCACATCACTGCCGGTTGAACATATTCGGTACCATTTAAAACCCACAGACTAAACCACCCCCAGAAAGCAGCTTACAATCACAATTTCTAGATAAGTTAGCATGCATATCTGGAAAACGCACCAGGACTACGTTCAGGACATCCAAGTACATGCTCAAGTTCCATCTGCTTCTCCCTTTACACCTTTCCACTCACATTCCTATCATCTCAGCAATCCATTACCTGCAAAGCGCTTCTCTAACCAGCCCACGAAGCTCACCAAGAACCATGCCTATCGATTTGTAGCCAGTGAACCGAATAAAGAGAAAGGCATAGCTTAAGTCCGAAACTCATGGCACAGAAGGCATGGTTTAGCAAAAGCTTACTGCTACCTACTGCAAAATGATTATCGGCCTACTAAGAGGGGCAAAGTGACAAAAGTCTGGCTTAGCAGGAGCTGTCGTACACACTGGCACATCACCACTACAGGTCGGCTCTAGCTGGCATTAGGATCAGATCCCCCAGCAAACACGGAGCAATAGTTCCCCTTTCCAAAATGCAACAGAAATGCTGAATTGCAGAACCATTTGTAATTTTAGCAAGTTATGTATAGACATCTTATTTAATTTAAGAAAGCACTCTGAATTCTGTTTAGGATTATTACAAAGTTGCAAGTACATGAGATTCATTTTGCACAATCTGAAGTATTGACAAACTCATAATGGGAAGGAAAAACTTTCTCTCTCTCTCTCTCTCTCTTGTGATAAAGAACCCTACCAACTTTGCTATCCAATAATTCCTTAGCCAAATCCAAACAATGCAAAAAGTGCGAGTTAACGTCCCACATCTGCTGTGATTAACTTTATGCATTACTTTGTCACAACTAATTGGGAGGAAGATCTGTAAAGATCTCCCCTCCCCCAGGAGATCTAGAGTGACACTTTGATTCCTAAGGCTGTTTCAGTTAGTCAAGCTGTCCTAATCTGAAGAAATTTGCCATAAAGGTAACAGCCTGGTAGTCTCTGACCTCCTGCATGTAGCAGCATATTTAGCAGGGATTTTTTAAAATTCAAGCTTATCTGGTCAAAAAGGTTTTAACCTCCGGGCCACTATGAAATTGCAGGCGCTTGAAGACCCATTCTTTCCTTGCTAAAGTATCTCAGGGATTTGTCCATACGAGTCCACTCCAGGGTTTTCTACTTATGGCAGAGCAAACTACAATTATAACTAACTGGCATTCTAAACAGCCATCAACAGAGAACCACTGGCTGGCTAAAATTTCTTAAATGCAAAAATTAATGCATCAGAGATTGGTTTCTCAGGGAAAGAAGATACCACAACTTTTGCAACCTGGTCTCCCTCTGTGGCTTCTGATAACTTGTACTTCAGCAAGCCTCCCAGGTTCTGTTTGTTCAATTCATGCCAAAGAGACAGGATAGTACAATAAAACCATTGCTGAAAGTACCTGGCACCACAATTAAATTTCTATGTGCCATGGCGACCTAGGGCTTGTTGAGTACTACATTAACCTTGTTATTTGTTCAGTATTTTTTGAGTTTTGGCAGAGACCACATATTGTAACTGCTAGCTCTGCCTTTTGCATTCCTATACTTCCAAAACCCTCTAGAGATATACTGGCTTTGGTAGGTTTTCAGCTCTTAAAAGTTTTAAACAATGGAGTAGTGCCAGTTCATAAGCACTCGTCTGCTTTAAAAAAAAGCAGCATGAAGTAGGTATGAAATAAAAGCCACCAATTCCCCCAATCACAGTGGCTTAATACTTGCCCTTTGCATAGCTCTAGCTCTGCATAGCTCTAAGGTCAGGATGAAATGTCTGAGAGCCACTTAACCCACTTGGAAGCAGGAGGCAGCCAAAGGGAGGGGTTAAATGGCTGAAGCCATTCCAGACCTCCCTTGCCCTCCCCTTGTGGGGGAGGGAAGCTGATCCACCACACTGTTCAATTTAAATGGCCACAAACAGGGGTCATTTCGTAGAAAAAGAGCTAGGGGAACTCATTAGCATATGCCACAGCCCCTGACATCACCTGAAGTGTGTCATTTAAGGCCACACCCCCTGACATCACCGGAAGTGTGTCATAAGGCCACACACCCCGCCCCCAACGGTCCCGGCCGCCACCGCGAGCCTTGCAGCTCCACTGCCGAGCCCCATGAGGGGCCCAGCGGTGGACCTGCAAGGCCGGCGGGAGTGCAAGGAAGCCCCGCGAAGGCCCTCCCTGGCCCCAGGCAGGCAGGGGTGGGGAGAGGCAGGGAGGAAGCAACTTACCCTCCCTCTTCTCCTGCCTCCTCCTGGCTGAATGAGGGCCGGAAGCGGAGTGGCCGGAAGCAGGGGGCGGGGCTTTGTCATGTGCCCCGCCCCCCGTACCTCACCCGGGGAAACTGCGATCCCCCGCGTTCCCCTCCGAAATGACCTCTGGCCACAAACCCTTTCAGACCTCCAAACACAGGGGAGAGAAAGGGAGATCTGAAATGCCTTGTGGCCCGCTGTGCTGTTTGATTTAAATGGCCACAAGCCACAGCCCGTCAGCTGTTTGCTTTAAATGGCTACAAGTTTGCAGCCGTTCAGACTGAACAGCATCCACGGGGATGGGAAAATATACACTTGCCCCAAGCTCTTTGGAAGAAGTGGTGGGAGGGAGATAGCAAGCTTAAGCAGGAAATAATAATAATAATAATATGCAGGTCGGTAGTTTGTCACAATACTCCAAAAGTAGGTCAGGTTTCACTATGCCACAAACGTTATGTACGGCTGAACACAAAGGCATCATAATAAGAGAGAACTAAGAAGATCATCTGAGTACTGTTATGCTAACTGGGGAAAGCGGAAGCAGGCTTGTACCTTAACACCACTCACCTTTTGGTTTTCGTTCCTGGGGTGCATCCCCTCTGTCACACAGCATAATGTGATCCTAGGGGGGAGAAAAGGGTTTTTAAAAAAAAAAAAATCAAGGAAGGTATTGGCTCCATTGTCCATGGGGTCGCGAAGAGTCGGACTCAAACTGTGCGACTGAACAACAGCAATTGGCTACTTAACCCACAGTTATGCATCATTCTAGATTTATGGAGGTTACAAATATGCCTGCCACCAGCCTTTCCCCCAGGGCACGGCTTCTGCTATGCTCTTCACATTTCTGCAGTGTTGCCCAGGTAGGCGGGACAACCCAGAAGGCAGAAGAGATTCAGCACTGTGCAGACATTAGGCACCGGATCTGACATCTTCTGCGGCCGTTTCTTCTTTTATTGACGGCTGTGCAATTACAGTTCAACGCGCTACAAAAAGCTGAGCCGGCACATTAAGAACAGTTTTCACCGTACCGGTTGTTTCTGAATTCTGTACTCAGAAACTCCCAAGTCAGCAACTACAATGATTGAATTTAAAGACACGGCTACTTCTTTTTTTTTTTGCAGTATTCAATCATCAGCCTGAATTTCCCTCAAATCTGTCAGAGGAAGTGCATAAAAGTTATAATTCGGTTTTACCTTAGGCTTGTTTGGGTGAGCTCTGACAGTGCTGAAGGGTTCTGGAGACCCAAAGATATTGCTCGTTTTGCCACCGGGTGGATTTGTAAGATGTCGAGAAGGGTTAGGTCTATGGCCCCCAAAAATGTCGCTGTCCTTCCCACCTGAAAAACAATTGGACTAGTAAGAAGGTCCAGGTTAACTTCATCCCCCACCTTGAGAGGCTCTCAGCTAGACTGTGGACAGCTCTAGGAAGAAGAGCTAACACTTTGCTAAGAATGGACACCCATTAACTGTTTTCCTCTGCAGGGTACATGCTGACTTTTGTATTGATCAGTGCTGTTGGGATTCAGATGCAAATAGTTTGTATGAAGAACACACAAGAGTTAGAAAGGCTGCCAGACAGCATATTAGCTGTTGTGGTCATCACACAGACAAATTCACGCAAACTAATTCCACTTGATTTTCAAATGCAGGAAGACTGCAATAAGTGCCCACAACCTGTGAAAACCACAGTATGAATCTACTTCTTTACAATCCATACACGTACCTATCTAGAAATATCACGCAACGTTGTGCAGCATAGTCTTAACCAGTGTTCCCTCTAAGCTGAGTTAGTGTGAGCTAACTCACAGTTTTTTAGCCTCTGGCTCACACAGTTCTGTCTCAGCTCAGGGAGGATGGGGCTCCGGAGCAAACTAATTTATGCAGTGGCCAAATCGCCCGCTCACAACTTTAATGCCGGTAGCTCACAAAGTAGAATTTTTGCTCACGAGACTCCACAGCTTAGAGGGAACACTGGTCTTAACACCAAGAAACACCAGCCAAAATGCTTTATATTTTTATCAATTTATCATCATAGTGCTAAAGACTGCTTCTGCCCACTCACTGTCTATGGCTTTCACTAGAGACCAGCAGAGAACCCTCTGTAGCATCTGCCTTCATTGGGAAAGCCACAGCCCTACGTTTTAAAACTTTAAAATACTGTAATGCAATACTTGGTTTAAATAACTTACAGCCACACACACACAACATAAGTAAAGACTACCAATTACTTTTACCTCTGTAATTTTAATCCCATCAAACCCAGGGAGCAAAATAATCCTGCATAATTTCTTACTCTGTATGGCAGCACACCAATTCGCAGATGTCATGTTGGACCAATGGTTTTGCAAGCCTCTATTTGCAATTTCCCCAGCAATCATTTGCTAAAATTTGTTCTACACTAATACCTCCACCCCAGTGATACAGGTGCACGCACACACTAAGTCAAACATTCAGATCAAGCCAGCGTGAACTGATAAACCCCTTGTAAGCAGATAAACTTTGTTCTTGAGCACTGAAAGCTGAGTCTGGTGGCACCTTTAAGACCAACAAAGTTTAATTCAAGGTATAAGCTCTCCTGTGCAAGCCCACAAAGATACCTGAAGAAGTGTGCCTGCACATGAAAGCTGATACCCAGAATTAAACTTTGTTGGTCTTAAAGGTGCCACCGGACTCAAACTTTGTTCTGCTGCTTCGGACCAACATGGCTGCCCACCTACATCTTTCACTGCTCAAGTTTTTCAATGAATTGCATTTAGATGCTCATCAAAGCAGTAACAGTCTTCTTGTGAAGTGTCAGCTGAACTCAGGAAGAACTGAGAGACTTTAGCAGCAGCCATGTGAAATCCAATAGGCACTGTGTCCTCAAGGCAGGACATTTATTGTCTGGGCAACACCAAACCTGGCACTCCTTTCCATGATACTCAAGAAGAAGATGACTCACCTGGAGGATTTGTTTTCTTTGGGATGTTTTGAGGTTCTTCGGTTGCTCCAAAGATGTTGGATGCCATTCTGTGTGGCTTGAGAGGGGATGAGACTTCTTCTGGGCATCCAAAGGGGTTGCTGGAGTCCCCTCCAGGCGGTTTCATCCCCCTGGTTTGCAGAAAGCCAATAACCACTATGAGAAGATATGTCTCATCTGAATTCTGCACACTAACATTTGCCCCAGTGAGACCTCTTCCCAGCCTTGCAGCTTCCATGAGGTGAGTCACATGAGGAACAAGTTGGTGGATTATTGCCTTCCCGTAATCTATACATCCCATTACTGCTTTCTATAAAGTGTGTTATGAACAAACATAACGTTGTACAGTTTTTTGGCAATGCTCAGACATCTTAAAAGCATACTGCTATCAGGGAACCCGGTAGGAAACCTTTGCTCTTAGATCTACATAGATCCTTCCTTAGGAAATGTTAGCTTTGTGGTGGTGTTCTTATTTTGACTAACAATGTCGGCATACATCTGAGAGTTCTGAATGCGAAGGTACGTTGGCAATTCTAAAAAGGGAATCTGCAGCTTCTTATATGACATCCTCATAGACAGTTCAGTAGTAAATCACCATAGAACAAAATCCAGTTCCATCTCCAGAGGCATTTTATCAACTCGACGTCCAAGGATACTCTGGTGCCTCCTGAAAGGTTAATCAGCATCTAATGACCTGGGCTACTGCCACTCCCTTGAGATAACCCAGCCTTGCAGCTGCCGGCAATTACCCCCACCAGACTACCTTCCTCCTCCAAGGATGGATCCTGTTAAACTCATGGCCCCCTTCCAATCATCGGGGCTTAGCAAATTAAAGGCTCGTTCAGCCCTCATCCCTTACAGGTGGTAAGCAGTGGGGTACTGCAGGGATCAGTACTGGGACTGATGCTTTTTAAATTGTTCATTAATGATTTGGAGTTGGGAGTAAGCAGTGAAGTGGCTAAATCTGCAGATGATACGAAGTTGTTCAGGGTGGTGAGGCACTCCAAAAGAATCTGTTGAGGATGGGCGAGTGGGCGTCAACGTGGCAAATGGGGTTCAATGTGGCCAAGTGCAAGGTGATGCACATTTGACCCAAAAATCCTAACTATAAATACATGTTGATGGGGTCTGAACTGGCAGAGACTGACCAAGAGAGAGATCTTGGGAGTCACAGTAGATAACTCACTGAAAATGTCGAGACAATGTGTGACTGCAATAAAAAAGGCCAATGCTATGATGGGGAGTATTAGGAAGGGTATTGAAAACAGATCAGCCAATATCATAATGCCCCTGTATAAATCAATGGTGCGACCTCATTTGGAATACTGTGTACAGTTCTGCTAACCACGCCTTGAAAAGGATATTATAGTATTGGAAAAAGTGCAGAAAAGGGCAACTCAAATGATAAAAGGGTTGGAACACTTTCCCTATGAAGAAAGGTTAAAGCGCTTGGGGCTTTTTAGCTTGGAGAAATGATGGCTAAGGGGTGACATGATTGAGGTTTATAAGATTATGCATGGGATAGAGCAAGTAGAGAAAGAGTTACTTTTCTCCCTTTTTCACAATACAAGAACTCGTGGGCACTCCATGAAATTGCTGAGCGGTCGGGTTAGAACAGATAAAAGGAAGTACTTCTTCACCCAAAGAGTGATTAACACATGGAATTCACTGCCACAGGAGGTGGCGGCGGCTACAAGCATGGACATCTTCAAGAGGGAATTAGATAAGCATATGGAGCAGAGGTCCATCAGTGGCTATTAGCCACAAGGTATAGATAGGGGCTCCGGGGTAAGTGATGCTCTGTCTTCTTGGTGCTTTGGGGGGGGGGTCAATAGTGTGAGGGCTCCTAGTGTCCTGGCCCCACTGCTGGACCTCCTGATATCACTTGGTATTTTTGGCCACTGTGTGACAGAGTGTTGGACTGGCTGGGCCATTGGCCTGATCCAACATGGGCTTCTCTTATGTTCTTATAGTAATGTCTATACACAAACGGACCATGCCATTTTTTCCCACCTAGTCCTTCCCATTTTCTCAGTTGTTGGGTGAGGTCATTACCACACCCTGCTGCAAGCTAAGGCTGAATGTGCAGAATAGACTTCAGTTATACATTCATCCACACCCTTTTGCAGTTTGTACTAACACTGTTTCTCACGTGCATCTTGGGATACACCTCGAAAGAAAATACCAAAGTGAAAGGAAACACATGCCGCAGCCTTTAGACTATTCCCCCGCCCCTCTGGAATTTTCGTTCACACTCCTGCCAAACTGTGGGCTATCTTTCCATTATGTTTCAGAGATAAGAAGCAGTCTTGTACTGTGCTATTGGTATAAATAGAACAGGCTGCCAGAAGACATGGAGAGCAGCGATTAGACGTGGAACAGAGGCCAAATACGATGGGCTCATTGTTACTAACAGGGCAGCAAAGATTACGTTTTGAGGAACTGACCAACAATCTTGGAAGGTCACCAGCTCAATGGCAAGTTCCCTTATCTTGAATTTGTGCCACTAGCACAACATGTACATATCCTGTCCAACATTTGCAACCTAAATGTTTCGACTTCTGCTTTAAGTAGAAGGACACATTCCAGAGCAAAGCCAAGGGAACAGGGTGCAGGCATCATAAAAGAATGCAGCTTGAATGGAAAAAGAGAAGTGGCGAGAGTTGTTCACTCAGTGCAATACCAGACTGGCAAAAACCAAACACCAGGTATTAATGGCAAATGGATCGAGTCAGTCTCAGCAGCAGCCGCCAGTCCCTACACAAAGACATTTCCTGCCAGTGATTACTAATTCTTCAGATTAGTCATCTCCACAACACAATGAATGTCAAGAATATAACTCTTTAAAACACGACGAAAAGTGGAGGTTTCTTACTGTTGCTACAGAGGTGAATGTGGCCAGATTTCAAAACCTCCTATGACCTCCAAATCCTAGAACCTTTGCCCTTTGCAAAAATCACTGGGTGTTTCCTGTAAAATAAGGATGCCTGAATAGGAACAAGAAACTAAGAGTGTCATTTTGCTTTTGTTTTGGAGCTACAGATGCTTTACCCCAATATATAAACCAGTATGTGCACTTCTCCATCAAAAAGAGATGCCAGCTGTAGTCTGAGAATGTTCTGGCATCATTTAACTCGGTGCGCTTCAACCTTCCCAGACTTGGAACCCACCTTTAACTCCAGGTGGCAGCATGGGACCTAGTGAGTTGCAGACACCATGACAGGAAGACAGGTGACAACCATCACATGGCAGGAAGGAGGATCCAGAATCCTCACATCCACTGAATGACCTTGCCTTGCCACCCTGCTGCTCTTCTTAGCATGTGCTCAAGTAGAGGTAGAAGGCTTGGTGCCCTTGCTCTTGATGTATGCACACTAGTGGCAGCTCTTTCCAAAAGGTAGCAGAAAGATTCCCAGCAGCTCTATACAGGCTTGTGACCCACCCAAAGGCCTCAAGTGACTGGTTCAAGACCACCAACTAACCTGTGCAACTGAAATGCAAGTGTTCTCAGGGGACAGTGTAGCACCTAACTGCATGCCGCCAGTGGGTTATTTTTGCAGCAGCAGAAGGTGTCTAAGATGGAGGAAAAGAAAACTACTCCCCCCCTTCAATTAACATTATTAGACCCCTAACAGAGGAAACATTCAAATGAGTGAAAGAGGGCAGCCAGCAGCTCTTGCTTTCTGAGTCTTTCGTCTCAGTTAGATTTGGCTCCCCCACCCCAGCTGCCTGCTTCCAAACTTACTCTGTACCAGTGCTTTATACAGATTTTTGATTAGGCAGATAGGAGTTAGGAACTCTAAGTTTTGTTTATGACAGAATATGATTTTGCTGAAGCAGAATACAACCTATATAGCATGGTCTCTAGAATTCAGGGGCTTATATGCAGAGAGGCAGTCACACAACACACAAATAAAACCCAACACACAAATAAAAAAAAATTCACCATCAGCATAACAACATTTATCTAAGCCAACAAATAGACCAGACCCATTATGATAGCTAAAATCATAAGCTAGCAAACTAGGTTCTCTCAGTTTCAATTAAACAGCTCAGGGAAGAATTCAGCATATATGCTAAATGTAAGCAGGACAATGAGATCCCAGGGCCTCTGCAGGTTTTTCTTTAATCCTTTCCCATACATTTACAGCACATAAGGAAGAGTATTACAGAGGGAGAAGCTGCAAAGTGTTAACTGCTGGACTTTACATTAGGTTAAGCCTTCAAGATGGGGTAAAACTACTACTGAGAGAATCCTTTGCTAGATTTCTCTTGCTCCTCCCCTCCTCCGAATCCTTTCTGATCAAACTGAACAATTCAGCAGGAAGAGATGTTTGGCAATAGTACTAAGGCTCCAGCTGTGGCGTTTTCAAGTTCTCCTCCTCCAGATTGTTAGCTGCACTGGAATCATGGAATACTTCCTAAGAATAATTTAACCACTGAGTTGAATGTTTGGTGGTAGTGGGGGGGAGAAGGCTGCGAGGTGAACAAAAAGAAACACCTGGGATGAGACCATTCACAGTTCTTTTAACCACTCGAAGTCTATGGACAGGACAAAATGCCATAACAATAAAAGTTAGTCCCTCTAATTTTTTATATTAGAATGCCTGTAAGTTAAAATATTAGGAAACTGCCACCACAGCCAGTAGGCTGACTGAAAAACACTATGTTCCCTCTAAGCTGTGGAGTCTTGTGAGCAAAACTTCTACTTTGTGAGCTACTGGCTTTAAAGTTGTGAGCAAGCGATTTAGCTCCTGCATAAATTAGCTTGCTCTGGAGCCATCCTTCCTGAGCGGAGACAAAAATGTGTGAGCCAGAGGCTAAAAAACTGTGAGCTAGCTCACACTAACTCAGCTTAGAGGGAACACTGACCATGACCAAAATAATCTCTGAGATCGTATCCCCAATCTACAGCACTGTGGCATAGTTCCTTCCAGCATTTGATTGTACTGCACTGAAATGAGTCGGCCCGACAAATGATGCCAGTTGCACAAAACAGGGAGTCTTCATTACAGACTGTGGCAGGGGGGCACACAAGCTCTCAAGGAATATCCAAACTATTGAGCTCCACAAGCCCCTAAAGTGTGGATGGAGAGCATCCAGTTCTTCATTTTTCAAAAAAAGAGACAGA